TCGAATGTTGGAGGCGAGACTCAAGCAATGCAGCCAGTGGATAGGGACAGATTCTGAGTGACACACCAGGGCACCAACCAATTCTGGAGTGTGTGGAATGTTCTAGAGAAGTGCCACCACCATTCGGCTTTTATATATAAGGGAGATAAGGTGTTGGACTTAGAGGTGGCAGAAGTGCAGTGCCTCTATAGACTGTGGGGAGGCGGCAGAGAGTCAGTATGCTTACTCCAGTTTGGTGTAGTGGTCAAGTGCGCAGACTCTATTCTGGGAGAACCGGGTTTGATTCCTCACTCCTATCCCTACTTACTGAGAAGAGAGTCATTGATTTATTATTTTTATTACAATAAAAATTTCACTAGGATTTATTCCCTAGTAACTCGGTTGAGCCTCCAGGTGGGGCCTGGAGGCCTTCCACTATTACAACCGATCTCCAGATGACAGAAATCAGTTCCTCTGGAGAAAATGGCTGCTTGGGAAGGCAGACTCTATGGCATTTCCCCACTGAAGTCCCCCCCCTCCTCAAACTCCACCCTCCTCAGGCTCCACCCCCAAATCTCCAGGTATTCCCCAACCTGTAGCTGGGAACCCTAACCCACTGTCCTATTTCTTGTTCCCAGAAATGTGTCATGAATGAAGTCAACAGTCGTGTTTTTTGGTGTGGTATTCAGAGGTTCCATTTAGCTACCCTGGCTGATAGCCATTGAGATAGTTGTCCTTCATTAATTAAAGTCATCTAAGGCATGGGGATGGCAAAGGATGAGATGGTTAGACAGTGTTATTGATGCAACGAACATGAAATTGAGCAAACTCTGGAGGATGACGGAAGACAGGAGGGCCTGGCGTGATGTGGTCCATGGGGTCGTAAATAGTCGGACTCGACTGTGCGACTGAACAACAAAATAGGCACGGGACATCACCACACCTTGTGTACATCGTTAACAGGGCCAGAAGTCTAATTGAAGACATTATTTTTATGTGAAGTGTTTTGAGTAAAGGCATAAATGGGGGGGGGGAGCTATTTATACCCTTTTCAACCCAATGGGGATACAAGCAGAACTTACAAGATTGTTTTCCCCTCCTCCATTTTAACCTCACAGCAACTCTGTGAGGTAAGATAGGCTGAGAGAGTCTGACTGGCCGAAGGTCACGGAGCTTCCGTGGGAGAGTGGAGGTTTGAATGTGAGTGTTTTAGATCCTAGTCTGACACTATAGCCTCAACACCACACTGAGTGGAAATTCTGATTCTCTGAAAGTGGTCATTAGATTGACATACTAATGTCTGTCACCAAGATATTTAAAGTTGCGATAGAGATTCAGTGTGATGATTGTGCCCTACAAGCTAATTTTTCCAGTTGGGTTACTACCTGTCTCTGCCCTCCAGACAGGACTTCTGTGGTATGTGTGGTAAGCAAAAGAAAATTAGTTGGGGCATGTAAGAAGAACCCCACTGGATCTGACCAAAAGTCCATTTAACCCAGCTTCCTGCTTCTCACAGAAGCCATCCAGCTACTTCCAGAAAGCCTACGAGTAAGACATGGAGGCCAAGGGCCAGCAACAGGTATTTAGAGGTACACTGCCCCTGAATGAGAGCCAGTTTGGTGTAGTGGTTAAGTGCGCAGACTCTAATCTGGGAGAACCGGGTTTGATTCCCCACTCCTCCACTTGCACCTGCTGATGTGACCTTGGGTCAGTCACAAGCTCTGGCACAGCTGTCCTTGAAAAAGAGCAGTTTGTGTCAGAGCTCTCTCAGCCCCACCCACCTCACAGGGTGTCTGTTGTGGGGAGGGGAAGGGAAAGGAGTTTGTAAGCCGCTCTGAGACACCTTTGGGTAGTGAAGGGTGGGGTATAAATCCAATCTCTTCTTCTTCTCTCAGCCCCACCGACCTCACAGGGTGTCTGTTGTGGGGAGGGGAAGGGAAAGGCGTTTGTAAGCTGCTCTGAGACACCTTTGGGTAGTGAAGGGCGGGGATATAAATCCAATCTCTTCTTCTTCTGTGTAGTCACTGCAGTGAATAGCTCTTGATAACCATATCCTCTGTGCATCTGTCTATTCTCCTTTCACAATCACCCAAGCCAGTGGGAAGGGCTGTGGCTCAGGAGTAAAGCATCTGCTTTGCATGCAAACAGTCCCAGGTTTAATCTCTGACATCTCCAGATGAAGCAATAGATGTCGGGAAAGACTTCTATATGAGACAAGGGGGGGTGGCGATAGAGAGAAGGGTTGGACTTGGCCATGAACACTGGGAGCATCTGAGGCTATGCCTTAGTGGTTCACTTTGGTCCTTGGCATGAGGAACTGGCCCTGCATGCGAAACAAAATGGGTCTGGGGTGCTGCTGTTCAACATTTACACCATCACCCCTCTGAGTTATCCCTGCGGTGTTTACACTGAAACAGGATCGAGAGCAAGAACAAGAGCGAGAGTCAACATAGCCAGGCTTCCACAGTGGCTTTTGGTTCAAAGAGCAAACAAGGGAATGATTCACTGGGAGGGGCTGTGCAAGAAACTGTCATCTAGACAAAAATAAACGGCAGAGAAGCGTATTACGTAATGACAGCGTGGTCAAAAGCCAATACCAGCAGAGCACCCGGAAGAGGCAAATGCCATCGCTTGGGGGAGATGCAGCCTAACACCTTCTCCCAGTTTTACATACGTGCGCTTGAATAAACTCAGAAGGGCCCTGGCAAAGATGCTCCATTGTTTCCTGCTTCAACACAGGCCTGGGCCTAAGCCACCGTCTTTCAACCTCTACAGAATCTATTCCCCAGCTGGGTGATGCCGAGACATTTATTTGTGCTTTATCTAGAGAGTCAAAATGCAATTAAAGCCAACCTTTCGTTGCAGTCCTACTGCCGTTGCAAATCGTGCGGCATAACGCAGCGATCAAAGGTAGCTGCCTCAACCTGTTTATGTCGTAATCTCGCTTCAAGCTTGTAGATATAATAAGGCGGTCGATAGTGTGTGCTGGTGACCGACCTGTGGCTTTAAATAAACATAATACATCTAACGGTGCAGCACAGGGAAGCTGTGAGCTAAATTAGAACACACAAATGTTTGATTAACTGCATCCAAACTGATCTAAGTGCAACTGCCGCACCCCACAGCCCCTTATAAACAGAGAAACTAAAAGCAAGCTGGGCAATTCCTAGTTCCAAGCGTAGCCACAGAGGCGGAGTCAGGCAAGCCACTATTTTTCTCCCCCTCATTCAGCCATACAGGGAGACTAATTGTGGCCTGCAATACAGAGCTGTTGTGAAGAATACTGCGATAATACAAAGTGCTATGACGAAAGACTGAAGAGTCTGGGATTGAAGAGATGACTAAGAGGGGACGTGACATAGCAGGGGTCTTGAACTCATTTAATTTAAATGAGTTTAATTGGAAGGGAGACCTCCTTGGAATACCAGAGGCGGGAGGTGGGGGCAGGCTTTATACAGCCACCTCGCTGAATATCTGCCAGGCCCCCAGTAGGGGTCAGTCAGCAGAGGTTACCATGACTTCCAGGGGCACGTACGCACTCATGCATACACATATAAAAAAATACCTCCTCCCCAAAGGTTATATCTTGGGAGATCTTGTTAGTCTCTAAAGGTGCTACTGGGACTCAAATCTAGCCCTTCACTGCCATTGCATTGTTCATTTAAACACGGTCCATAGTTTTATTTGCCACTGAGAAAACAAAGGTGCACTTACCTGTAACTATTGTTCATCAAGTATCTTCTGTGCAGGCACACGTGGGGACTGCGTATGATCAGACCTGCCATTGGAGAGGTCCTTACAGCTAAAGGCCTCCAGGGCCCCTGCGTGCTGGTGCCAGAAACTTGTTCCTGCTCCAGCTTCTTGACTCACCTGCAAATCCAAAGCGTAGTGGCCAGTGTTCCCTCTAACCTGAATTAGTGTGAGCTAGCTCAGTTTTTTAGCCTCTGGCTCACACATTTTTGTCTTAGCTCAGGAAAGATGGCTCCAGTGCAAACTAATTTATGCAGTAGCCAAATCAATCGCTCACAACTTTAATGCCAGTCGCTCACAAAGTAGAATTTTTGTTCACAAGACTCCACAGCTTAGAGGGAGCATTGGTAGTGGCATATAAACATACCTGCTGACGACCAAGGAGCAGCTTGGCAGATCTCGATCAATGGTACTACATCAAAGAAAGCTGCCGAAGAAGCAATAGCTCTAGTAGAATGGGTGTGAATGTTTAGTGGGCACGGCAGCTTGGCTAAACCATAGCATTCCCTAATGGTTGAGACAATCCACCGGGACAAAGTCTGAGATGAAGCCTTCTTACATCTATTAGGACCAGCAAAACATATCAACAGTGCTCTATCCCTGCGGAACTCCAGGGTTCTTTGAAGGTAAAATAATAAAGCCCTTCTGACATCTAGGGAAAGCAACAATCGCTCATTTTCAGAGCTTGGGGCAGGAAAAAAGTTGGACAAAATAATATCCTAGGATCAGTGTTCCCTCTAAGCTGAGTTAGTGTGAGCCAGCTCACAGTTTTTTAGCCTCTGGTTCACACATTTATGTCTTGGCTCAGCGAGGAGGGCTCCAGAGCAAACCAATGTATGCAATAGCCAAATCACTTGCTCACTTTGAGGCCTTTAGCTCACAAAGTAGAATTCTTGCTCACAAGACTCCACAGCTTAGAGGGAACATTGCCTAGGATACCTGGAAACTACCTTAGGGAGAAACCTAAGACTGGGTTCAAAGGATTACCCTCTCAGGAAAGATCTTCAAACATGGGGGGTTCCACCTGAAGAGCTGCTAACTTACCCTCCTGGCTGATGTAACAGCCACTAGGAAACAGACTTTCATAGAGAGTTCAGCCAATGAGCACATGGAAAGGGGTCCAAAGGGCTTAAGCATCAACTGAGCCAAAACAATGGAGAGACTACCAGGGAACCAATGGGTCCCCAAGGTGGGCAAATATTACATAGTCCCTTAAGAAATCTTTTGGACAAGTGATGGGAGAAAACCAAACCCCCACCCCCCCCAACTCCCCTATGGTAACAAGAGATGGCAGCCAGGTGGACCTTTAAGGAAGACAAGGCCAAGCCCTTGTTCCTCAGGTGCGATAGTCAAATGTAACCTGCAAGGAAGCACTACCCTGAGAAATCTCCCTGTTGTGGGCCAGCCTGAGTCCAGAGAGGTTGAAGACTCTTCAGGAGTTGAGGAGCCGTATGCAGCCAGCTCTGAACAAGCAAAAGCAGGGGTGTCGAACTCATTTCTTATGAGGGCCAGATTTGACATAAATGAGAACTTGTCGGGCCGGGCCGTGTATGTCATAAAACGTAATGGCAGGTAGCAGAGATATAAACTTTAGAAAGGACACAGACAAACACAATTAAAGATTTTTTAAAACTTAAAACATTAGCGCTCTTGCAATATTTTGTTTATTTAACAGTCTCTGATAACTGCCAGTTCTCGCTCTGAATTATTGCATCAACATCTGAAGAGTGTCTGTGCTGTAGCAATCTTGAACATGCTGTTTAGGTGTTATTCAGTTGTGTATCTGTAAGTTGCAAACTACTTTTGATTTGCTGACATTCATTACAGAAATCTCATGGTCAGTGCTTTGAGCCTAAGAACCAGAGGAAAACATGAAATGGCTGGGCATTGCAAGCTTTTGTACATACGTTGCTTCGTGTGCTGGTCAAGAACATAAGAAGGTCTCTTGACACAGACTGAGGGCTATATGTTTGTCTACAAAAGTATAGTCTTCCCCAGAGAAATAACTAAAACTCTCATGAGGCAGTGCAAGAACAGAGAGACAACAACGTATAGTGGTCAGTATCAACCTACTGTCTGGGAAGTCTAAGTTCAAAATCCCCAGTCTACAAGGGAAATGTGCTGGTTGAACTGACTCACAGCCTAATTCACTTCACTGGCTTGTTGTTATTCCTCATCTAAATAGTTCACATTGCTTTCCTACTGAGAAAGACTGGATCATGAGGGCATAAATACAGTGATAAAGGGGAGGCAAACTCAGTTGCACCCATGAGAGCCCTGGCATAACAAGCCCAACAAAACACACTCTCTCTCTTTCTCTGTAGCAAGACAACAAGCTCATACCTTGAATAAAACTCCGTTGGTCTTAAAGGAGCTTTGTATCTCTCCCATGTGATTGAGGGAACTGGGCAAAGTAAGCTCTCCCTCCCTCCTGGGGACAAGGAGGGGGAGTAGCCTCAGTCAATGGATGGAAGAGAGGCTTGGATCAGTAGCTCTGCTGTGAGATTGAGAGAGCCTGGCAAAGCAATCTCTCACTCTTCCCCTCCCTCCTTCCCTCCAAGGGAGGAGGAGCCTCAACCAATGGAGGAAAGAGAGGCTTTGCTCTGTAGCTCCTGTGTGATTGAGAGAGCCTGGCAAAGCAAGCTGCGATGCAGAAGGAAGCAAGAGAGAGGGAGAAGGAAGCAGATGACAGCCAGTTGCTTGTGGGCCACATACAAGACCTGTGGGGGCCAGATCTGGCCCACAGGCCACATGTTTGACACCCCTGAGCTAAAGTTAATGAATTAGAGATACAGGAGCCTCAAGATTCATTGCCGGCAGCTGACCCTGACCCAGCCATGCCTAGCTCTGAAGTAGCCAATGAAGCACAACTGCAGGAAAGTAGCCCACCAGTCTCCAGTAATGTGGAAGAAAATTCTTGATCAAATTAGGAAAACAATCTTTTGTGTGTGTATTTTGAGAGACTAGGAAAAAGGCTCGTTGTGGAAATAAATACAATGGCCTCTAGAAAGAGGCTCTGGGCGGGTGCCCCGGCCTTGGATACTCAGTGTCAATTTGCTGTGGCGACCTCAGCAGGGTATAATGACACTGAGTCCACCATTTTCTCCAGAGGAACTGATCTCTGCTCCCTAAAGAACAGTTTGTAATTTTGAGTGATCTCCAGCCATCACCTGGAGATTGGCAACGATGGTTCCCCAGAAAGGGAATGGTTGGTTTGGAGGGTGGAGTCTATGGCTTTGTACCTGTCTGAAGTCCCACGCCTCCTGAAACCTCACCCTCTCCAGGTTCTCCAGGAATTGTCCAACCTGGAGTTGGCAACCCTATCTCCTTCCCAGCCAATCATCAACCTATCTTTATTTCCCCCTCACTCTTCAGCTTTCCACCCCACACACACCTGCAGCCTCTCCTGTGCTCTGAAGCCCTGACTGCTACGTCACATTGGCTGTCATATGGGGGCCACCTCAGCAGCATATAAGGATACAGAGCCCACCATTTTCTCCAGGGGAACTGATCTCTGCCATCTGGAAAGCAGTTGTAATTCTGAGTGATCTCCAGCCCTCACCTGGAGATTGGACACATTTTACCTCAGAAGAGCAAACTGTTTAGAATGTTAGAGGCAAAAGCCAATCAAGTCACATATGCAAATGACCTGTGTGTTCCGAGGCAAAGGCCAATGAGGCTGCATATGCAAATAACCTCTGTGTTCTGACTGGCTATGGGGGCAGAGGAATAGCAAACTGTTTAGAATGTTGGAGCCGAGACTCAAGCAATGCAGCCAGTCGACAGGGACAGATTCTGAGTGACACACCGGGGCGCCAACCAATTCTGGAGCGTGTGGAATGTTCTAGAAAAGTGCCACCACCATTCGGCTTTTATATATAAGGGAGATCTCCACCACAATGATCTTGCTTTTCCTCCACAAAGTTGGCCATTATCCCCAGTGATGGCATGACTCCAGCTTAGCCCTAACCAACCCTCCAGGTAGCCCGTCAACTGCCCCCCCAAGTGAAGCTACAGAAGGTTTTCGAGTTTGGTGAAACGGTAAAAGGCAACCAAAGTAGATTAACTTTAATGGGGATATATTCCAAGGCTGCCTGAAAGAGAAACTGGGTATTAAAAAAAAACGAGGAGACAATATCAAATAAACCATTTTACAAATGAATAAACCAAGGCTAGTAACAGGTAATAAATATTTGACTTCAGAGTACGGACACATTTTTTTTTTCCTGCAGCCCTAAACCAAACTTAAGCAGGGGTGCAAACCCATCTGTTTCTGTACTAGATGTCTCTCTTCACGTCTGCCTTAAATGTACAGAGAACACGTTCTGGGTAAGGGCACCAATGACAGAAGATCTCTTCTGGTTTACCCAAAAAAACTGGGGGAAGTAAAATCAAGTTATGACGAACATTAGTTAAAATGGGCTGGTGGGAAAGCACTGAGCCTAGAGCACACAAGAAAGCTTCTCTTCCTTTGAATTTCAAAGATGCTGCTGCGAAGGACCTCCTAGAGAGGCTGTGTGCTTTTGGCTTTGCCTCGCCTTCCCAAAACATCTCTCTCAGCTTTTCCTTCAGGGAAGCATTTCACAGAAGGTCTTCTGTGTATCACAATGTGCAAAATCTGATGAGGATAAAGCAGACTGGTAGACATCAGTGCAGACAAAGAAAGGACAGTCAGTAAGAAAAACGCCTTTGTTAAAAGCAACTAAAATGATAAAATAGAGACATAAACAAATGCTTATGATTTAACTATTAAAAATCCACTATCTGAATGGGCACCAGAATAGCGGTAGAAAGGATAAAATCTTGCACAATTCATTCCATGACCTCCACGGTTTCTCTTGCTGTATTCAGAAAACTCTGCTGAAACCCAAACTTCCTTCCAAGCGTCTGCAGCATGCCAAGAACAGAAAGGCCATTTAGGAGGAAAGCCCAAAAAAGGGGGGAAACCCTAACCTAACTGTACTGCCAGACCTGCATCTCAACATGAAGACATTACGTCGTTAAACACAGCACCCTCCGGTGCTTGTATGAGGGTTTGTGTTTCACTTTCTGGCCAATCTAATGGCAAACATTCTTCATGAGAGATTCCAATATTCCAGGTACCAACTCTAACCCAAGATGAGCAGAAGTGAGAAAAGACGACTAGCGCAACTTTGAAAAAAGTTATCTTCCGTAGCCGAATTTACTGTGGATCTTGTGCCTGTTTGGGAGACGGTGCCGCAGTCACAACCACCGTGGAGACCGTTTTGGTAGAGCCAGACACAGTGCCCTGCTGGAGATGGGAAGCAGGGACAGTCTGAATTCGCACCTGTGCAAATGGGAAAGAAGCAGAGGTTAGTTGCATTGCATACTCCACTGTCATGTTGCAAAAAGCACAAATACTTAGTGGGACCAGAAGAAGAAATGGTCACCTCTCTTCACAAAGCTACCCATGACCAACATTTAAGCAGGGCTATTAGCATGAATGTAAAATGAGTGTTACAATCACTATATCTAATAGCCAAGTTGCCCCCTCCGTGCGGATCGCTATATCCGCACTTCGGGGGCACTTGGGGGGGCAGGGGGAGGTTTGTGCACTCCTGGGGCAATCCCCAGGGGTGCACAAAAATCTAAACACTAAAAAAAAATATCAGGGGGATGTTTAAATCCCCCCGAAAGTGA